CACATTTGATTCCAGGAATTTTTTAAATTTCATTTTTAATTTCTTTTATTACCCAGTCTTTTTTTTTAGCCATGTGTTGTTTCCTTTCTATGTATTTGACTTTTTCCCCTTGTTCTTTCCGTTGTTAATTTCTAGTCTTGTAATGTTGCGATCAGAGAAGATGCTTTGTATTCTTTTGATAGTTTTGAATGTATTGAGACTTGCTGTGTGGTCTAAAATATGGTCTATTCTGGAGAATGATAGATGTGCATTGGAGAAGAATATGTATTGTGCTGCTGGTGGGTAGTGTGTTCTGCACATGTTTGTGAGTTCATGTTGGTCTATTGTTTTATTTAGATCTTCTGTATTTTTGTTGAGTTTCTTTCTTGTTGTCCTATCCTTCATTGAATGTGGTGTGTTAAAGTCTCCTACTATTATTGTGGAACTATCTATTTCCCTTTTCAATGCTGTTAGAGTTTGTTCTATGCATTTTGGAGCTCTGTCTTTGGATGCATAAATGTTTAGCATGGGTCTGTCTTTTTAATGGATTTCTTTAGTCATTAAACAATGCCCTTCTTTGTCTCTTATAATGGAATGTAAACTCTTTCAGGGTAGGACTTTGTCTTGTTCCAAGCTGAATTTCCAGCATCTAGAAATGGCCACCACTCATCTGTGAGCTTGCTGTACCATGGCGGATTGTGTGTTGTTATGATGTTGGAAGCGATGCCATCAGTAATTCAAATAATAGCAGGGCCACCTATAGTGGACAGGTTTCAAAGAAGCTTCTAGACTAAAACACACTAGGAATAAAGCATGGTGATTTAATTCTGAAAATTAGCCTGTGAAAACCCTATGGATCACAACAGCATGTTGTCTGATACAGTGCGAGAAGAAGAGTGCCCTAGGTTGGAAGGCATTACACAATGGCTGTCTCAAACGTGCCAATGATCATGAAGATGGCACAGGACCAGGCAACATTTTGTTATGTTATATGTGGGGTTGCAATGTGTTGGAACCAACTTGACAGCAACTAACAATAGCAGCGACAACAGCAGAAATGGCAAAAACATTGTAGGTTCTTAGTAAATACATGTTGAGGAAAATGACCACATCGTTAAGAGCTTTTCTAACCCAAGTATTTGAACTTGTGTGTGTTTCATTCTCTTTTGTTACCTCCATCACATTGTGATCAAAGATAGATAATTTCTCAGTGTGTGAGAAAATTGAGGTTACTACTTATAAGGTGGCATTGCCTAGTATGAAACCTAACCAAAAGGTTGTTCTAGTGGAAAAATACAGATATTGCTAAAAGCAAACTGCTTTGATCTGCTTGTTTGTTTTTTAAAAACTGAAATAGTGAAATATTACTCCCATGGGAAATGTACCTTTTTTTTTTTTTTTGGAATGCTCACTGGTGGTCATACCTGTAGCACAATAACCAACAAGACTTTTGGAAGATCTTTAGATCTTTTCTGTTCATGGTTCAGCACAATTAGATAGAATTAGTTACACTTCTCCAGGGAAAGGAACACTGGTGGCACAATGGTTAAGCACTTGGCTGCTAATCAAAAGGTTGATTGTTTGAACTCACCAGCTGCTCTGTGGGAGAAATGTGACGGTCCATTTCTGTAAAGATGTATAGCCTTGGAAACCCTATAGGGCAGTTTTACTCTGTCTTATAGGGTTGCTGTGAGTCAGAATCAACTCAAGAGCAATGGGCATGGGTTGTATTTATGTGGATTAATCAATGGAGAAAGTAAAATTTATGAAGCAGAATCCAATCCAATACAACTCTATCATGACTGACTGTGTCAGATACAAGGAATGTAGGGACAAGATAGGTACTGTTCATGCCCTTCTGTTGGTTAGATTAATGTTTTATGGGAACACAGCGTGGTAGAGAGGCAATTAAAACATAATGGATTAAAAGCTACACTACTGTTGACAGATGGCAGCTGAGTCAATTTTGACTCATTCTGACTCATAGAGATCCAGGGTCACAGTGTGGAACTTTCCATTAGGGTTTCCTTTATGGGAGCAAATCACCAGATGTCTTCTTCCACAGAGTGGCTGGTGGCTTAGAACCACTGATGTTTTGGTTAACAGCTAAGCACTTAACCATTGTGCCACCAGGGCTTCTTAAAAGCTGTAATGTTTTGTTGCTGTTAGGTGCTATGGCATCGATTTTGATTCACACCAAGTCCTTGTGATGTAATAGAACTGCCCATTAGGGTTTCTTGGCTTTAATTTATATGGGAGCAGACTGCCTGGTCTTTCTCCTATGGAACCGCTGGAGGGTTTGACCTGTCAACACTTAGCAGCCAAATGCTTAACCATTATACCACCAGGGCTCTTTAAAATCTACATTAGGGAATAATGTAAAGGAACTCTGGTGGCACAGTGCCTAAGGCATTTGACTGCTAACCAGAAGGTTGGTGGTTCAAACTCACCAGCTGCTCTGTGAAAGGAAGATGGGGTCAAATACTTCTGTAAAGATTTATTGCCTTGGAAACTCAATGGGGGTCTCTATGAATTGGAATCGACTCTAAGGCAGTGGGTTGGTTTTTTGGTTTAGGGGATGTTACAGGAACACATATGACAGGAGTCTTGACCAAGCAAAAAAATTAGAGAAGGATTGCTTCCTGGGCAAGTATCAGCTAAACTGATACCGAAAGGATAAGTAAAGACTGTCCAAATGAAGAAGAAAATGATGTTTTCAAAGACAAGATGGGGGAAGGGAGGAGTTATCCAGACGGGACAGTACACTTTGCTCCAGACATCTGTCCCATTTTCACCTGCCATTCTTGCCCTTTTCTTCCATTTCCAGTGTTTCGTCTTGTAGGTTAGCCTTTTCTCCCTAATCACCCATTGCTTTGGTAGGGCTTATTTGCAAATCCAAACCAGGGAAAAATAAGCAAAGAGAATGGCTAAAGAGTAGCCACTGGAGCCTGGAACCAAGCCTACATTACATTTACAAAATTTGATTTTCTGTAGAAAAAATATTTTGATAACCACATTTTTGGACTTCATTAGAAGGATCTGAAATGGATGACACCAAGCTGTTTGCCTAAAATAATGTTCTGAGCCTGATTTGGCATGGATGCTTCCTGAGGTTAAAATAGAAACTTGTTTTGCTAACAGCAAACAATTTGGAAATCAAAGAGTCGTTTAAGTTGAAACCATTATTTTTCCTTTTGCAGCAGAAAATGCCTGGTTTCACACACCCTGAGAAATCAGGAGAGAGAGGTCACTCTGCCACAGAACTTTCCATTAAAATGTGAACCTCGTAAAGAAAGAAGGGAAATGGTTTTCATGTAACAAATTCATTCCACAAACATTTATGAGTACCCACTATGTATTAGACACTGTTTTAGGCACTAAATAAAGATACCTGCCCTTCTAGAGTTTACACTCTAACATATGGGAAGCAAATAAAATATAAGCAAATTATGTAGTAAGCTAGAAGATGAGAGGTATGGAGAAAGAGTAGAACAGAGTAGGGAGCAGCTTGCAATTTTCAATAGGGAAGTCATAGTTGGTCTCCTCAAAGGAGTGATATGTGAAAAAAGAACAAAAAACCGGAGGGTGTGAGTCATGCAGATAATCTGGGTCCAGGCAAAGGTAACAGCCAGTCACACAAGGGCCAGGCTGCAGTGTGTTAGAAAGGGGAAAGAGGCCATGGCTGAGAGAAGACCAGAATAGGAAATTAGGTCCTGGTGGTAGGTGAGAAAGCAGGGGACCTATTCAAAGTAGGATTTGAGAAGAGGGTTGATTTGATCTGAGAGCTCTGGTAGCACAGTGCCTAAGGCACTTGACTGCTAACCAGAAAGCTGGCGGTTCAAACTCCTGGAAAGGAAGATGGGACAATCTACTATCCGTAGTGTTACTGCCTTGAAAACCCAAGGAGGGGTCACTTTGAGCCGGTCCAACTCAACATGCTTTAAAGTGCATTTTAGGATAATGATTGTGTGTTTTCATATGAACATAGTCCTTCAGCACAACACCTTTTACTTTCCAGTAGAGCAATGATTACTTAAAATGACGTCTAAATGATCTCCTCTCCAACATCAGGCACCACAGCAGTGCCAAGTAGTAACAGCCTCCCTTTGGCCTGCACGCGCCCCTGGAGGGGCAGCGGCTGCTACTCTTCCAACGTGGTCAGAGTTGAGCTGGCGGAGACAGAAACAGTCTGCACTTTTCTTCTTCAAAAGTCCACTGGAGCGCCAAACATTTCTTTTAGTTGGTTACAAAATAAAAATTATGCCTTCGCCAACTCTGTGGGAGAAGCAGCTCCCGGAGTTTGCCTTTGCTAATTTGTCCAAGTCGTGCTGTGGTTTCACAGAAAGCTGACATTGCTCAGCTACAGCCCCATAAACCTCTGGCGTCTTGGGCTTCTCCGCCCTCGGGCAAAAGCTACCGATTACCCCCCTAGTCACCACCTGTTCGGGCGGAACTAGCGGAGCGCGCACCTACGCCCCAGGCTCCCTTCCTTCCTGGCTCATCATTTCCAGCTCTGCGCCCAGCTTTCCATCTCCCTTGCCCGGCTTGCAACTTTTCTCCCAGCCCGGGGCTTGCCTCGCTTGGCTGGCCCCCAAAAGACATTTTCTTCCCGCAGCGCCCCCGCCCGGAGTTTCCCGCCCCGCCAGCTCCTAGGAGGGGCCGAGAGCCCTCTCCCCTGGCCCCGGGCTGAAAGGGCGGCGAGTCAGGCGCACGCGCGCCCCCACTCCCACGCCCCTCCCCTCAGGCAGCGCAGCTCCCCCTGCAGCGCCTCCCCTCGCGGGAAGGGAGCCGGAGGGGGCTTCGGCGCCGCGCGGCAGACCTGCTCTGCCTGCGCGCGGCGCTGCTCTCCCCCGGGAGTGGCAGCTGTGGCTGCGGCGGCGGCAGGGGGTTCCCGGTTCACGCAGCTCGCTGAAGCAGCGGGAGAACAGAGCCTACGAGGCGAGCGCTCCTCAGTTCCGCCCGCCGCACTCCCAACCTGTTCTCTGTGCTGGGCTGTGTTGCCGCGGCACTCGCCGCCAAGCATGGATTTCCTTCTGGCGCTGGTGCTTGCGTCCTCTCTCTACCTGCAGGCGGCTGCGGAGTTCGATGGGAGGTGAGTTGGAGTCCAGGGCACCCTCTCCTCCTCCTTCCCATGCTGATTTCACGCTTCCTGATTTGGGGTGTTCTCTCCCGGGAGGTTCTGTGGTCTGAGAGGCGTCTCCCCTGCACAGAAGTTGGGCCACCGACAGCAGGACAGTGGTCCAGCCACTCTGAGCTGCCCTGTGAGTCAGAGTCCTGTTGCTGCGCCGCGCGTCTCCCCGCTCAAGAATTAGGCTGGGGTACAAGAAGACCTTAGAGTCCAGAATCTCGGCTCTGAGGGTTAGCCCCCTAAGCGAAGGTGTCGCGCGGGACATCCCTTGGCCGGGAAACTATTTAGACGGCTCTTTGGGGTTTTTGTCAGTTTGATTCAGTGGAGAAGGAGCTCTGGTGGCGCTGTGATTAAATATGTGGGTTGCCAAACAAAAGGTGGGCGCTTCGAATCCACTTGGGGGAGAAAGATGAGGCGTTCTGCTTCCGTAAAGATTTGCAGCTTTGGAATCCATATGGGACAGTTCTACTCTTCTATATGATTAGGATAAGGTGGAATCTACTCGAGGGCAGTGGATTTGGTGTTTGAGTTTTCAGTGGGGGAAACTTCCACTTCCTGGGGCGAAATCCATGCTCGACGCTCCCCGGGCTGGTCACACTTAGGTTGGGTACAAGGAAGGGACTGGCCGACGAGCTGTTTGCCTCTCCATTGGTTTTGTGTGTTTGTTTTGAGTGAGGAGGACTTAAAATAAGGACCAAAGGGGGGGGGGCGCTAAGTGTGTGAGTGTATCCGCACAATGCTGTTCAGACCTGGGGCAAGCCTGACTGGCTGCGTGCTCTGACAGGTCCCAACAACCCAGAGCTTGGTCTCCGCTGTCACTCAGCAGATCCTCTGGCGGCAGCGCGCGGCGCCTTCTTCTCCCCGCAGCCGGATACGCTCGAGTGTTTGTGCCTGTGTGTGTGTGTGTGTGTGTGTGTGTGT